CTTTTTTGAACATTCTTAGCTTCCTCCAATCCTCACATCACATAAATTCTGAACTGTGTGACAATACCAACAGCTATCTATTTTAGTTGATTTTTAATGTTTAAAATTGCCATTTCAGCCGGGCAGTGGTGGCATATGCCTTTAATCCCAGCACTCAGGAGGCAGAGGCAGGTGGATCTCTGTGAGTTCAAGGCCAGCCTGGTCTACAGAGCCAGTTCCAAGACAGCCAAGGCTGTTACATGGAGAAACGCTGTCTTGAAAAACAACCAACAAACAAATAAATAAAAATAAAAAAAAAGGCAATTTCAAATGGCCCTGCCCACCAGAACTGTTTACTGTTCCAGATGCTCTCAGACATCCAACATCTTGGATATTGGATACTGTGATTCTTGTTTTACAGATGTGTGACCTCCTAATTCTTGCAACATTCCTAAGTGGCAGAGCCTCGTAGTCCAGTATAAGTCTGTGAAGGAACTGATCAACAATCAGTGCTACCCTGCTTTCCTTATAGGAACACTGATTTGTCCCACTCTTTTGAGAAGGCTCCAGTCATACAATTCCTCTTTGCCTTTTTTTTTTTTTTTTTTGGTTTTTCGAGACAGGGTTTCTTTGTAGCTTTGGAGCCTGTCCTGAAACTAGCTCTTGTAGACCAGGCTGGCCTCGAACTCACAGAGATCTGCCTGTCTCTGCCTCCCGAATGCTGGTATTAAAGGCGTGTGCCACCACCGCCTGGCTTCCTCTTTGCTTTTTTGAAGGCTTCTTTTCCCCCCAACATATGGGTTAGATTTCTAGAACCTTGTGTTACAGCATCATCTAATATATCTTTTTAACTTGAGCAAATAAAAATACACACATGCACAAACCCCCATATGAGTTCCTTTGAGTATTTTTGGTATAGTCACCATGTTTTGAGTCTGTGTTACAACTTAAAGATTTTTATGTATGTGTGTTCCGGCCACAGTATGGTGTGGAGATCAGAGGCGTTGTTGAGGCATCATCCTTCCACCATGTGGTGCTAGGGGTCAAACTCAGGCTCTCATGTTCATGCAGCAAGCCCTTTATCCCTGGGTCCATCTCTCCAGCCCTCTTACGACTTTCTAAATCTCTCTATTTGGCCTTTTAAAGGCTCGCTACCAGTGCACTGTTCCCCAGCCTCCCCATTTCTCTAGCTTTTTCGGCATCCTCTGTCTCATGGGAATTTCTGATTTTGATGAAGAGTTTGCTTTGTATCATCCAGGATTTTTGTCCTTATTTTTCATAAATTGCCATTTTTATTTTGGAGGTTGAGCCCAGATGGTCACGTGACGACTCAGGTAGCACTCAGAAGAACCCTTGGTTCCTACTGCCATTGGCCAGCCTAGTGCATACTTGATGGGGGCTGGGGAGGGTAGGTGTGCAAGGCACATGCGTGTATACCCCGTGGGGGTGTCCTGCCTAAGTGCCGCTTAATTTCTTTGTGTTGATTTTTTTTTTTCGTGGTTTTCTGTTTTGAAGATTATAGAACTTCCAAACAACAGAGTGTTTAGCTCCAGGCTCGGGCACAAGAAAGCTGTGCGGCACATCCAGTTCTCAGCTGACGGGAAGACGCTGATTTCAAGTTCTGATGACTCTGTGATTCAGGTGAGAGGCCCAACAGAAGAACACTGCTGAGCTTGGTCGCCTCAGCCTTCCGACTGGACACGTGGGGCTCAAAGGGTCTGTTGTAGAATATCATTTCAAGGTGTGTTACTTTTATTTACGCTCTGGAATATTTGTTTAATGATGCAAAGATGTGTTTGAGTAAATACAGTCCACCTGTGGTCTCGAGGTTGCGGCAACAACTAGCTGACCGGAAGTCGTAGGGAGGAGCCAGGTGGAGAAGGGTTTATAATGAGGGGCGAGGCTGAGCACGAGGACTTCTTGGGAGACGCGAGGACGCGAGCTGGGTGAGCTGCTTGCTGTCCAGCCTCTCTGGGGAGCAGGATTCTACCTGGCCTTTGAGTCTGGAGTTCTTTAGTGGGACAGCAATTTAGGTAAGTTCTCTTAGTAGGGTTGGAAGAGTCGGTGCCTGAGAGAACAGAATGTCTTCTGCGGCTCTTGTGGCCTAGCTGCTGCTAGTAGCAGTGGAGTTGGAGTTGCTGACTATGATAGCCATAGTTTAAAAGGCAGATGACTAAGAAAAAGTCAAGAGTCCATTCATGTTTCATATTTTTTTGTGGGTGTGGCATGGTGGCAGTGCATTGAGAAGGTTGTTTATTTTGAATTAAGTATTCATTTGAATTCTTCCTATCTTGATATTCATATTTATGTGTGTAAATATATTTTTGCCACATTTATATAACGTCTTTTATTTTCATTTTTTTGTTTTTTTGTTTGTTCCTTCTTTTCCTGAGTCAAGGCCTTGCTGTGTAGACCAAAATGGCTTAGACCTTGCTTTGTGCAGCCCAGACTGTCTTTGAACTTTTAGCTGTCATCCTGTCTCTGCTACGTGGGTGCTGGGATTGCAGACCTCTACAACCATGCTCCACTCCAAGTCATGTGATTTTATTAAGAAGAATATTTATTGTGGTAATAAACTTGCCCAAAACAAGTGTAGCTTGCTGTAATTATGTATACTGAGACTTTGAGCTTACTCTATATTCTTTTAAAATCCACTTTTTATTAAGTTCTAGTATACATCAAATCTGTGAGGTTACAAGGCTTCCTGTGGAGGTCAGACTTATTTTTCAGAACTACTACTGGTGGCTTTTGGATATTTAGGTATTTTTAGGTCCTTGAGATCTTGTCTTTTGATGTTTACCTTCATGCCTCCATATGGCATTCTTGTAGTGCTATTTTTAATTTTCCTCTCGGGGAGTTGCTGACTTCTCGATAGTGAGGGTTTAGTGTTTGCTCTCCTCCTTCCTTTCCTGTCTTCTACACATGTGCATGCAGACGTAACCCAGAGCCATTTATCAGACCCTCCGTCACAACAGTGACAGAATTGTGTTTAGACCCTAAGTATCATCACTGTGACCACGCAGACTGTGTACTAACGGGTATTATGAATGCAGTTCCTGTCTTTCTTTAAGATTTATTTATATGTATCTAATGTTCTGCCTGCACGTGTGCCTGCAGGCCAGAAGAGGGCATCAAATCTCATTATAGATGGTTGTGAGTCATTGTGTGGTTGCTGGAAATTGAACTCAGGACCTCTGAAAGAGCAGCCAGTCCGCTTACCCTCTGAGAGCCATCTCTCAGCTCCTTCTTGTGTGTGTGTGTTTTAATCTAAACTCTTACTTTGTAGCCAGGTTGGCCTGGAACTCCCGATGTCGCGTAGGCTTGTTGGTCTGAACTTGGTGTCCTCTCGCCTCTACTTTTTGAATGCAGGAATTGCATGCGTGCACCATCACTCCTCATGGTTGCAGTTCCTATCGTTTTATAGTTTAGAAAAATTTAGTCTTTGATTCCATGTGGCTGGACATTATTTCACTTTAAAACTTTTTCTTAAAGATATTGCCTCATTTTTTCCTTAAGTTCCAAAATTTATATTAGAAATTTAAAGTCATTTTGATTATTTTTTTTTTTTGTTTGTTATTGAGACAGATCTCGCTATGTAGCTCTACCTGGCCTAGAACTTGGTGTGTAGACCAGACTGGTCTTGAATTCACAGAATCCACCCGCCTCTGCCTCCCAGTGCTGGGATTAAAGGTGTGCACCATAATTCTCGGTTTTAAGTCTTTCTGGAAGATTTAGAATCTTCTCTGTGGATTTCATGATGATGTGCCTTCCATTATTTTGTTCATTTTGGCAGTTCCTTTCAAGGAAACTTACTCTTAAATTCACATTTTTCTTGAATTATTTCTTCTTTTCCATTTTCCTTTTCTGGTCCAATCTGATTCTCTTTTTGTAAAACTCATTATTCAAATACTGGTTCCTAGGCCAGTCCTCTTGTTCTCGGTTTTGGTTTATTGTTTGAGGCATGGTCTTTATAGGCCAGACTGGATCTGAAGTTACCACATAGCCAAGGATGACCTTTCTGATTCTTCTGCCTCCATTTCCTGGGTTTAGACATGTGCCACAATATTTTTCTTCAGTTTTTTAGATTTTTAATGCTCAAGAATTCTTTTTTTTTCTTTTTTCTTTTTTTTAAAAGATAGGGCTCACTAGGCAACTCAGTAGGCACCTCAGGCCCACTTCAGTCTTGTTACCTTGACCTCAGAAAGGTCCACCTGCTTCCGCCTCTGAGCACTGGGATCAAAGGTGTACATCACGGCTCCCTACCCTAGCCAGTGTTCTACTTTTGGAGTATACTCCTAGTTTTATTTAGTACATATTTCTTGTGGAAACATTTAACTATGCCTTTAAAAACTACTTAAAAAAACCAATCTTGCTAAGTGTGTCTTTATGAAGGTGTAGGATTGGAATGAAATTTGGCTTCAATACAGAAATTGTATTATAAGCTCCCATGATTCTTCTTTATTAGCTGTGAAACTCGTATAATAATCGCACTTCTTTCTCTCCAGATGTCTTTGAAGTGGGGGAAGTTTAACTACATCAGATAAATCCTGTTGGGACTTTGTATTCGGGCTGAGCTTAAATTCATAAGGTTTTATGACCTGTTTGTAGATATTCTTAGCCAGAGGGAGAAGTCATTTTTAGAATGAGAGCTATTTTTAAAAATACAAGTTATACTTCATCTTCTCTTTCTGGACTGCTGAGAATGGTTTTTACATATACAGGACTTTTAAAAGACACACCCCAGGGAGTCATGTGCGCTCATGTGGTGGTCGGGGTACAGTGAGCTGGAAATCTTTCTCTTCTATCACATGAATTCAGGCTGAGAGGCTTAAAAAATAGGGGATCCTACTGGGTGTGGTAGCGCACAATTTTAAACCAAGCACTTGGGAAGCAGAGATGGAAGATCTCTGTAAGTTCAGGGCCAGCCTGGTCTACAAGGTGAGTTTCAAAGGAGCTGGGGCTACATAGAGAGACCTTCTCTTTAAAAAAACAAAAAAACATAAAAAAATCCCAACAACAAAAAGACTAGGGACAGCTTCATGAATTTGTATGCCATCCTTGCACAGGGCCGTGCTAATCCCCGTATAGTTCCGGTTTTACTATGTGTGCTGCCAGAGCAAGCACTATTTACAGGGTTTAATAGGTCCTATAATAAAACTCTTGGTAGAGATTTTTAAGAAATGATGGTTTGAGGGTTTTTTGTTTGTTTTTTGTGCTGTGATTTTTTTTTTTTTTTAAAGTCTGGGTCTCATGTCACTCAGGTTGGTCTTGAACTCACTGTGTAACCAAGGCTGGCTTTGAACCCCGACCAGTCTGCCCCTTTTGCCTAAGTACTGGTATTATAGGTGTGTGCTTCCATGCGTGGCTTTGCTTTGGTAAATGGCTGAATGAAGTTTTGTTTTAACCCTTTGTATCCCCAACCTGAGAAAGGTTTAGGGAATCTCTGTCGTGTTGATGTTATTGCCAGAGTTAGAAGAATAAACCCACCTGACTATATAGCACTGAACCTGTGGGAGCTGAGTCCTGTTTTGGTAGCCTTTGATTCTTTACCATGAGGTAAATGAAGTATAATGTGTTAGCTATGCTTACCTGGTGCCTAGCAATGTATTGGTTCTTACAGGTTTAAGAAATCTAGTGTTTATTCACTCCTGCTTTTGGGTCTCTCTATTGGGGCTTGATGGATAGTGTGGGTTGGCTTCACACTTGTGGTCCTTCTTCCCTAGCTTCTCCCAGTGTTTCGATTATAGGCATACCCAGCCAGTTTTTTTTTTTTTTTAAAGAACGTTGAACTTTATTTAAGCAGTTAAAAATTCTGTAGTGTGTACTCACAAATATTCTTGCTGATGGTAGGCATCTCTAAGTTCAACTTCAGCGCGGTCAATGAGTGCAAGTAGGACCTTGTCTGTCATTCCAAGATGATTCAGTTAACTGGGTGTGAGTTCAGCTGAAAGCACCACTGTCATTGGCCTGTCCGAAAGTGTCTTTGAGACAGCGGTTGGCCTCTCGGAGGTTCTTTGTCGTCCATGTGCAGGAAGGCTCTCTGATTTCCTCAGGTAGACAGCAGCAGGAGAGCCTGGCCAGGAGGAGCCCAGACTGTCAAGACTGGAGGAGTATGAAGAGCAGCCATTGATCCCCAAGTCTGCTTAAGCCCAGAAAGAAAGGCGGTAGCCGGGACATTCCTAGTGGAAATGGTTTAGGGTATGCCTTGTCATACGGGGTGCCCTGACATTTTGATGTGATTTGGGGAGCCGGGAAAGCCCATGTTACCCCACCTTACCACAGTCCCCAGCATACATCTGGCCCACCCGTGCGCCCTCAGAACACTGTCACTTCCAGCCTCTCCCTGCAGTGACATGTTTGCACACAGCAGATCCCAGTCCTGGTGATCCTACTTCTGAGTATGAATGCCCCCGACCAGAAGACAGGAAGAGATCCAGAGCCACGGCCTGGTGGGGGATTGCTGCCGTGTGTGGCAGAGGCTAAAGGAAGGGAGCTAAGGCTTGGCACTGCTTTTATAGTTTTGTTTAAACCTGCTAGGAAAGGGCTTGAAGTCACCTCTCCCCTGTTTGACAGTCGCTCACACCAGAGCCAGTATGTCAGTAGTGACACACCTGTGGTGTCTCACGCCCCTTCTCGCCATCAAGAACCTCATGGGACACAGGATCCTTCTGCAGAAAAGCTTTAATGCCCCTTGGGAGAGCGAGCATCAGCCAACATGGCGGAGACCCAGATATGAAGGAACCCATCCCTTATATAGGAAAACAATCCTTGCTTCGGACGTGTCACTCTTGGATTGGTCAACTATCCATTATCCCAGATGATGCCTCGGGAGTAGGCGGGGACTCAGTGGAAAGTTACTGAGCACATGTGCGTTCAACTGGCAGTGAAGCCGGATGTCAGCGCCATTTTGTAATGGAGAATGTGGCTGCAGCCCTCTACACTGTGGGGTGCTGGGGCTGCTTCACGGATTCATGTTCTTTTGCAAGCCATCTCATTACCTGTATTCACTGGACTTTGACACGTGAGACTGTTTCTTTCACTTTTTTTTCCTTTTTCTTTTCTCTTTTCCTATAATACATCCAAACCACAGTCTCCCCTCTCCCCAGATCCACCCCTTAGCTTCCCTTCAGAAAAGAACAGGCCTCTCAGGATATCAACCAAACATGGCATAACGAGATTGAATAAGACTGGGCACAAACCCTCATGTCATGGCTGGATGAGGCAACCCAGTAGGAAGAAGAGGATCCTGAGCGCAGGCAAGAGTCAGACGACTCTCCCATTGTCAGGAGTCCCACAACACCCCAGGCTAAACCAGCACAGCCTGTTTGCAGAGGGCCTGACCCTGACCCAGGCAGGCTCTGTGAGCCCCTGAGCCCTGCTTAGTTGATTCTGTGGGTCTTGAAGTACTTTTCTAGTTTTATTATTATTATTCATTCACTGCGTTTGAAAGTTCTCAGTTTGTGAATCATTCATTCTTTGCTTTTCTTCAAATAATTTATCTTTATTTTAAGTGCATTGATATCTTGCCTGCATGTCTATCTGTGTGAGGGTGAGCTGAAATTGCAGACTGTTGTGAGTTGCTATGTGGGTGCTGGGAATTGAACCCAGGTCCTCTGGAAAGCAATCATTGTTGTTAACCATCTCTCCACTCCCCGCCCCCCCCCAACGTTTAAAGAGTCATTTGTTTTATTTTGTGAGTCCTTGCATTTATGAATGTGCGCTATGTGTGTGACTTTGGAAGTCAGAAGAGGTGTTGAATCTCCTGGAAATGGAGTTGCTGATGGGCATGTGTCCTTTGCAGGAGCAGTACTCGGAACTGCAGGGCTTTCTTTGCAGCCCCACCCCCTCTTGCATGCTTTGAGTGCTGGCCTTGGCCAAATCATCTCGAAGGAATCATTGTTTTGAATTTGACAATACTTTTGCTTCAGTAGCTAATATCTTTGTGTAAGATTTTTTTTTTATGTCTCATTTTGTAGATTTGCTCATGGCAGATCCTTGTTTGAGTCACATTTGCCTTGGAAACATGTTTGCTAAATTAATTGACATCAGGAATTTAGAAGGCACGGAACACTGTTGCTCTGATGTAGTGATGGATGTTCTGCATATTGACATGACATAGATGTCTCTGTTCACTGCTGTGCCTCAGATGCTGTTGGCATGGTTTCAGCTCTTCTTTCTTGCTGTGGTCGAGAGCCTCCTCCCCAAGCTGCATGTGAACTCATAGTGCCTTTTGCTGCTGCTTCTATTCTGGGAATTGCATTAGGGGCTGTCTAAGACTTTTGAAGCTTGAGAACCTGTGTTTCCAGTTGTCTGGCTCCCTGGACCTTTTGGGCAGGAGGGCGAGCGTCACAGGGGCCAGAGTTTGCAGGCTCACTCGATGTCCAGGCTTGTAAATCTGCAGATATGTAATTGGGATAATTTTCTCTGGAAAATTTAATCAGGCGGTGAGCTCACTGACATAGTGTACGCTTTTTTTTTTTTCCCTGTCTTGTGGTTTAATTACTCTCTAAGCAACTGAAGAAAACAAATTTTATTTAGGAGAAAAAGTGTTATTTTGCCCCCCATCAAGCTAATTAGCTTCAACTTTTTCTCTTTGGAAACACAGAGACAGTGTTCTTTGTTATTTCTCTGATTGAAATACTGAGAAGATAAAAGACTTTAGATGAGAGAACACATAGTCTTTCCAGTGGGATATAATTGGGGAAGGTTTATAACAGACTTATTTCTTTGATATTCAGGTATGGAATTGGCAGTCAGAGGACTATATCTTTTTGCAAGGCCATCAAGAAACAGTGAAGGACTTCAGGCTCCTAAAAAATTCAAGATTGCTTTCTTGGTCGTTTGATGGAACAGTGAAGGTAATTTGAATTCCAGATTTTTTTTAAATATATTTTTGTTTTTTAAGTTATTTTGAAAATACTCTTTTTTTTCAAAGTTTATTAAATTATAAAAGTTTCCATTTCCGCCCCCCTCCCAATGAAAATATTCTTTAAGTGTATTTTATTTTACTGTGTGTATGGCTTGCTTGTATGTCTGTGCACCACTTGCGTGGCTGGTGTCCACGGAGGCTAGCAGAGGACATCAGATCCTCTAGAACAGGAGTTACATGCAGATGCCTGTGCGCTGGGTGCCGAGAACTGAACCCAGGTCCTCTGAAGTTATACGTGTGTGTGTGTGTGTGTGTGTATGTATGTATATATGTATGTATGTATTTTGAAATAGGATCTCATTATATAGCCCTGGTTGGTCTAGAACTTGTTCTGTAGACCAGACCAGGCTGGCCATGAACTCAGAGCTCCTGCCTTCTGAGTATCTGGGACTAAAGGCATGTGCACCACCATACCCAGCCTCAGACTGCCCTTTTAAAGAAGACATTCTTACATTGCAATAATTATACTGTGATGGCTTTAAAGCCCATGAATGCTAATAACTGAGTGCTGTGCCTGGTGTTCTTTCCTGCAGTCCCGTGTCCGCCGTGTGGCTAAGCGTGTACACTAAGGAAGCTTAGACGAGAACGCTCACTGCTCTAAAACTTGTTTTACATGGATGTTTTTTTTAGCTGATTGTGTCCTTTTTTAAAAAAAAGATTTATTTTTATGTGTATGAGTGCTTGCATGTATGTCTCTGTGCACTGAGTACATGCAGTACCCACAGAGGCCGAAAGCACTGGATCTCCTGGACCTGGAGTCAGATGGTTGTGAGCCACCTTGTGGGTGCTGGAAACCAAACCCAGGTCCTCTGGAAAAGTAACCAGTGCTCTTGACTGCTGAGCCGTCTCTCCAGCCCCCTCACTGTCCCCTCACATTTCAAGGTGTTCTTCCTTCCCTTCCCCTCCCTCTCCTTGTTCTGGGATTCTGGGAATCAAAGGTGAGACTTCCCAGGGGCTAAGTCAGCACTTACCACTGAGCTCACCCATCCTTTTTTTTTTTTTTTTTGAACTACCCTGTCGCCCAAGTTGGCCTTGACCTTGTAGAACTTCTGCTTACTCTTCCCTTGGGGTTACAGTTGAATTCCATCATGCATGACAAAAATGTCTTTAAAAGTGTCACCCAATCTTTTTTCCCCCCAAGGTGTGGAATATCATCACTGGAAGAACAGAAAAAGACTTCCTTTGCCATCAGGGT